GTATTAAAAAGCTTTCCCCCGGACTGTGAATCACTCTCATTTCAGATTGTTTTGTACAATTTGCGTGCCGCGTGATTCCACCCTAAGAAGTTCTGCCACCCCTGCCCGGTCGTGACGAGTTGCTCCCTGAGCACTTGTAGCTACTGTGATTTGAGTTTGAGTTGAGATATCAGAAAGTCGGATTCGCGGCATTTAGTGTTGTCGCCTTTGGGTTTTGTTGAGATTGTTCCACACCTCTAGCTTGGCAGTGCGTCGACTAGTTGTGCTCGGGTTGTTTTGGTCAGTTGGCAGTGCGTCGACTTGAGAACTTTGGTTCCACACTCCTTGCTTGGCAGTGCGTCGACAAGTTGTGCTCGGGTTTTGGACATTGGATATTGGCTGTTAGTTGGCAGTGCGTCGACGCGGCATTTTGGTTCTACTAGTTGGCAGTGCGTCGACTCAGTACTTTTGGTTGTGTCAGTTGGCAGTGCGTTGACTTGACATTTTGGTTTACTAGTTGGCAGTGCGTCGACTCAGTATATTGGTTGTATCGGTTGGCAGTGCGTCGACTTGATATTTGGGCTTTGCGTCACCATCTGGACGCTGTCGCTACAAGGGATCTTAATACGAAGTATTAAGTTCTGACTTGTTATATTGTTGATTGTGGATTGGATTAGTGTTGGTTGTGTTCGTATAGAAGATATTGGTTGAGATACCACTGTTGTCTATATATATATTCTTGTCGTTGACTCCGTCTCCGCGACTATTGGATCTGTGTCTATTGAGAGTTGTGATACTGGTGTTCTGTCCACCCCGAAGCCCTCGCATCTTTCACACACTGAGAAGCTGATTACGAGGAGTGTGAACGTGTTTATATTTGGGTTTACTTCATAGTAGATTCACCTGTGAGCGCGCCCTCAGCATTTCACCGCACCACCCCTCTTCCCAGTCGGGCATTGGTCCTTGCCTCCGATGTCTCCACTGGCTGGCCCGGCACTGGCCTGGCCACTGGGCTCCTCCAGTGTGGCCTTCCACTGTTGGTGTCTCAGGAGCTGGCCGTCACTGGCCCCTCTGAGCCACTCACTATCTTATCTGGGTTTGTCATTATCTACTTGTCATCTGCCATTGTTCCATGGCAGTGATATCCCATCATCATCAGTCACTTGTCACAGCTGACTATATAGTGTGACACCTGGGCACATGGATCCTTGAACCGTTCTCTAAGGATCCCCCTCTGTGCTCAGGTGAGTAGTATACCTCCCTTGTATTTGATAGTCTCTAAGGATCCCCCTCTGTACTCAGACTCATGTGAGGTTGTTGTGTGCTGTGTGCTCTCTTCCTCCGGGCTGGCAGGAGTTGCCCTTACAGAGGGCTTCGGGGTGGAGCACCAGTATCACAACTCTCAATAGACGCAGATCCAATAGTCGCGGAAGACGAAGTCGACGACAAGAATTTATATATAGTAAACAATGGTGTCTCAACCAATATCTTCTATACGAACACAACCAACACTAATCCAATCACAACCAACAATATAACAAGTCAGAGCTTAATACAAAGGATTAAGATCCTTTGTAGTGACAGCGTCTAGATGGCAACGCAAAGCCCAAATATCAAGTCGACGCACTGCCAACCGATACCACCAATAGTACTGAGTCGACGCACTGCCAACTAGTAAACCAAAATGTCAAGTCAACGCACTGCCAACTGACACAACCAAAAGTACTGAGTCGACGCACTGCCAACTAGTAGAACCAAAATGCCGCGTCGACGCACTGCCAACTAACAGCCAATATCCAATGTCCAAAACCCGAGCACAACTTGTCGACGCACTGCCAAGCAAGGAGTGTGGAACCAAAGTTCTCAAGTCGACGCACTGCCAACTGACCAAAACAACCCGAGCACAACTAGTCGACGCACTGCCAAGCTAGAGGTGTGGAACAATCTCAACAAAACCCAAAGGCGACAACACTAAATGCCGCGAATCCGACTTTCTGATATCTCAACTCAAACTCAAATCACAGTAGCTACAAGTGCTCAGGGAGCAACTCGTCACGACCGGGCAGGGGTGGCAGAACTTCTTAGGGTGGAATCACGCAATACGCAAATTGTACAAAACAATCTGAAGTGAGAGTGATTCACAGTCCGGGGGAAAGCTTTCTAATACAAAGAAACGACGTGCTACTTATACTGTCTACGACGATGCTTAGTAAAGTCCTGTACAACTGCATAGTAGCTACGCTATCTAAGATTGGTTGCCTTTTAGAGTAATGAAAAGTTGAACGATCGGACAGGTCCTGAGTGATCAGGACCCCGCCCCATAGTCCATATGGTACTTTTGATGTGGGTCAACCCACCGCGTCATACTTTTGGAATACGACGTGCTGGATTGGCCAACTGGTATGTCTTGGCGAGTGAGTCCAACGTGGGTGCCCCAAGAAGCTGTATGGCCCTAGGCATGCCAGACATTCCTCACATGGTTTGGTTCACGGATCTAGCCCTAGTCAATTTTAGTGTGTTTGGGTATGCGCGCGACTCACCGTGTCACCTGGAAGTGTGACTGCAACGTGTCCACAATGTCCTGTGATCAAGTGGATCCTGACATGTGACAAGTTGTCGCCGTGGCATGATCTGAGGAAACGTCTAACCCAAAACTGGGAGTTGCCGCGACAAGATTGGTTCAATCTTGTAACGCCAAGTCCTGTCCAGAAGTATTTGTCATATTGAGAACGTTGCGCATTGCTAAGCCCTTTAGCCCAAGTTCCCATCTGCAGAGAATGACCCTTTTGAGAAGTTGCCGCAACAAAAGATCCCTTTTGGGGAATAGTCGTGGCCCAAGTGTTTGTCACTAATAGCCCTGAGCCTGGTGTAGACTCATAAGACCAATTTCACAGTAGTGGTCTGACTGCCTTGCTATCGTCGACACTATCCACAGTTGTTGACTGGGCAGTAGACCCTTAAGTCCTACTGAGCACAACACTGTCAACCGCGACACGATACACCAAGTGGTTCGAGAGTAAACTCTGTAAAAGTGCAAAAATACGCCCTTATAGAGCTGGTGCAGGGCGTGTCTGGTAGCCAGCCTATCATTGGTAATCTTGGACAAACTGTAAGCTGCTGTCCTTCTTCTTCACAAAGAAGACGGGGGATGCCATGGGCAATTTCAATGGCCAAATCCTGCCAGTAGCCATGCCCTCCTCGATGAATTCGTTGAGTTGCTTCTGTTCAAGAGGGGAGATGGGGTAGACCTTACAGTTGGTCGGCTTCGCATCAGGGACCAGTTTGATGGCATGATCCCATGGGCGTTGCTCTGGCAGGTTGTTGAAGGACTCCTTGCTGAAAACATCCTCGAACTTGCAGGCCCACTCGGGGATGGAATCCCAAGGAGGTGCAGAGTTCTTGGCAAACGCCTCAGCAAGTCGCTGAGAGACGGTGCTAGTGGCTCGGATGTCTTCAGAAGGGTTGAAGCGGGTGTAAAAGATACGGTCACCGGCTTCCGAGGAGTCATTGTCTTCTTCAATGTCTTCAGGGTCGTAATTGTCTGAATCTGGCAAAAGCTCCGGTATCTCTTCATCCTTGTGGTCCTCAATGTCAACAGCGCAGATTGATGGAACTGGACCTTGGTGGATAGTTTGAAGCATCCAGGCTGTGGTCTTGGCAGATCAACGTTCTTCACAAAGTTCCTCCCGGCAAGTGGAGCAGCCGGAAGGGCAGCGGCTCATCTTTACCTCCTGGGTATCCCAGTTGATCTCCGGGTTGTGCTTCCGGAGCCAGGAGTACCCTAGAAGAAGCTGCTGCTTGCCTAAACAAGTGACAGCAAGCTGCACACGTTCACTGTGGCCCTGATAACGGAGAACCACATCAGCAACTTTGCAAATGGAACCGGCTTTGTTTGGCGTGCTGTCCACGTTGTAAACAGGGATCGGCTGGGTGAGGCGTCAAATGGGGAGGTGATTTTCGAGGATGTAGTCTGAGTTGATGAAGTCGGATGTGGCACCACAATCGACCAGGTCTTTGAGAGATAACTTCACTGCGTTGTTGGTGGACTCAATCTCGAGGGGGAGGTGGAGAGAATTGGCCCCAGGAGAGGCGGCCGCAACATAGCAGGAAGGGAGCTTGCGTTCCCACTTCTCCTTACAGACTTGTTGGATTAGAGGGGGAGCAGGGTGTACATCTATCGCTTCAACTGTTGCAGAGTGGAGGGAATTGGATTCATCATACAAACAGGAGAAACAATTACGTGAAGTGAACAAGGGTGTACTACTCACTCATTGCTGGGGAGAAAACCCTGCTCCTCCTCAGCTGCAATGTTGGACGCGTGGTCCGCAACAGCTGCAGTGGTCACAACCTGTCAGGGGAACCCCTGCTTTCGTCCGATCATCGTGGGATCTTGCATGTGACCAAGCACGTGCCATCTGTCAAGCGTCACATGCTTTGGTCCGGACTCCCCTGCCAAGCGCATCCACATGACACTCTGGCCCGGACCCCCATTGTTCCGACGGTCCGGCTCCCATTGTTCCCCCCGATCCGGCCCCTCATTGTTCCCTGGCCCCATTGTCTGGCGCTTCCATTGTGCTTGGTCATCCATTGTTCTGTAGGCTATATATAGTGGGCCCTGACAAGGAGAGTCCCCAACTCGGTTTCTCTTTGGACTCTCTCTTGTCAGGTTTGCCAGTCTCCTGTACTAGTCGATCCCCTTATCTGACGCTTTGGACTCTCCCTTGTCAGGACTCTGAGATCGGGCCTCGAGGTTGCCCTTACACAACCCTAGCAACCAACTCAGAGAGCAACTCACTTCCCAGCTGGTTGATGACCTCATCAAGGACATTGGCGTGACAGATATCAGCTGGGGTGGGGCAGTCATGGGCAAGATGGCCTGGACTGCCGCAGCGGAAGCAGGTGCGGCAAACGTCACCATGGAGCTGGGTCCGATTCAACTCCATGAGGATGGGGTGGGCAGCAATTGCTGGTGCTACAGCAGGGAGCACCGGGGCACAAGGACGAGGGACAATAGGAGGCGCTCAAGGGGAAGGGATGTGGCCTCGAGAGGCCTTGGCAGCCTGTTCCACATTGTACTGCCGGAACGCACAGACATGCCACTTAGCGTAGTCAGTAAGCCTGGGATGGTTGCCAGAGGTGGTGATAGCCTGGTTGATCTTCGGGTCCAGGCCCGTCCTATATTTGGTCACCTTGACCAGATTGTTGGTATAGCCAGTGAGGTCAAGGAGGTCGTCGTATTTGTCCATGTACTTGAACACGTCACGGGAGCCCATATAATACAGATGGGTCTCCAGTTGTGCTAGGGCGTGGTCTTGCTTGTTCTCCTCAACGAATCGAAGCTTGAACTTGGTGACAAAGAGAGCCCAAGTAGGGAACAGGAATGGGGTGCACTCAGACATGCACTTGGACCAGGAGGCCGTGGAGTCCTTGGACATGTAGGACAGGGCAAAGCAGACTACCTTTTCCTCCGAGACTGCCCTATTCACAAAGAATGCCTCAGGAAGCAGGCGCCAGTACTGCTTCACCGAGTGCAAGAAGCTCTTGCCCAGGGTGTGATCCCCATCAAAGGAGAAGGGAGGATTTGGGCGGATAAGGGGGCGCGCAGGGCTGGCGCCAGTAGAAACACCTGGACCCGCTGTCAGAGCTGGAGCAGGGGCAGGGGCAGGGGCAGGGGGTTGTTGTTGTTGAGAGATGAGGCGGGTGAGTACGGCCTCAATGTTCTGTATGCTGGTCTCCAGAGCAGACAGCCGCTGCTGTTTGTTGTCCTCCATGCTCATCGGGTCTGCTCGTGGAGAGGAGGAGGGGGCAAGATAGGAGGTGAGGGATTGGTGGTCTTGGTCGCTTGTTGACTCTTCTCCACTGGCATCAGCGTCAAACCTCACAATCTTGTCCGGTTATCCCTAGAAACATGGTTTCTGCTGTAAGGGCAACCTTGAGACCTGATCTCAGAGTTCTGGCAAGGGAGAATCCAAAGGTGAATAATAGTGGTAGCTAGGTACAAGACCGGCATACCTGGCAAGGGAGAATCCAAAGAGAAACCGTGTTGGGGATTCTCCTTGCCAGGTGCCACTATTTATATGATACAGGAACAATAAACTGAGTTTATACGTGGACAGTAGGAGTGGTAGTCAGTTTTGATCCAGTAGGAGTGGAGCTAGTCCTACCAGTGGTGCCCGAGTCCTACTGAGGGGAGTCCTATCCATCAAATCTCCACCTCAGCGTCTCTGATCTTCTGTAACTCCGTCCGGACCCGGCGTGATATAACATCCCGATCACCGGTGTATCTATAATGCCTTTTAATTGAATTTGATCAACTAATTATCTATTTATCAACACGACGCTTCTTAGTCCCTGAAGGGCGAGCTGATTCACCAATCTGATTGTCCTGCGCACGATCCCGAGGACGCCGTGCTCGACGTGTGGAGACAATGTTCCTGGGGTCCACATTTGCAAGGTCAAGAGGTGTAGGAACGAAGGGCTCGTCTCCTGCCGGAGTTCCCGGAGGTGAGCTCCGAGGTGGATCAGGCAAGACGACATCAAGGTGAAAAGTGTACTCCAGACTGTTGATTGTGTCCGCCAAGGCCTGCGCTTCCATCATAGACCCGTGTTCGCCGAAAATTGTGCTCGATCCTTCAATCGAGTCCGGAACGTGAGAGATTGCACTCGTGTGCTCCGTCCAGAATACCGCTGCCAAGAAGGGTGAGCAAAAATGGTCCTATGGGATGTTGACACTGACCCTCACGCTCATCGCCTGCTTCAAATCCGGTAAAGGTGGGATGCTGCGCTGCATAATTGAAGGTTGAAAATTCGTGACTCAAGTTCGGAACTATTTGGACATGAGTTAGCCTTCAACTGAGCAGTGAGAAATAAATATACCAAGTAATCCCATTCCCAGGGGAGAATATTGCAAGTGTTGGGGTTCCGCATCTGGCAACCCAGACATCGACAAGGCCGGGAAATAATTGTCGGTTGATGCGGGGAAATCATCGAATGATGCGGGGAAATCATCGGCTGACATGGGGAAATCATCGAATGATGCGGGGAAATCGTCGGTTGACACGGGGAAATCGTCGGTTGATGTGGGGAAATTGTTGGTTGACGCCAAAGTGTCAGCTGGAAGGGATCCACCGATATCTCCGAGTCCGTCCTCCACTGCTTCGAGAGTGGAAAAGCTATCAGGGCGTCGACCACGTATTTGTACACCCGCCAAGGACGTTGAGCGCAGTGCCTTGATGCGTGTGTCAATGTCCTCCTTCTGCAGCCTCAAATCCCGTCGCAAGCTGAGCTCCGTCGCCAAATCATCCTGTAAAGCCTTGATTTGCACACGGAGATCCTGGCGTCGGCGATCAATGTCCAGGTCCGTCTGTATCGCTCTAATCCTGTCCCTTATGGATCTATCGCGTTCGAGAGAGTCCTTGTTACCTTGGCGAACTGCATCAAGGTCTGCCTGGAGACTCTGTAGAGTCTCAAGGCCTTCCCTGCGCTCAGTCTCTTGACGTGATTTCCAGCTCTGACGTTGAAGCGCCAGCTTCTCACGATTGAAAAGAGTATTGTTCCGCTTTCGACCAATACCTTCTTGCTCGATTTGAACAAGTTCAGCCGCACGCAATTTATCGCGCTCCTCCGCACTTCAAAATTCGAATCTCAGCTCGGAATTAACAGTGTAGTGAGAGACTCACGCTTCGACGGCACGTAATGGCGTCAGTCTAGTTGATGTCTCAGCATTGCGCGTCGCGTGTGCCGATTCAACATAGTTGGTATTGTCTGGAGTCGTGTTCCACACCTCAGCGGGGATATTCGACAGCGACTGATTGATTGCACGAAGGACAAGAGGGTTCCGTCTCTTATGCTCATACCAATCTGTGACAGTGTTCACATGAGAATCCGGTTGATTAATGCCATGAATGACGTACTGTGAAGGTCTGGATCGGTTTGTGCAGCCATGTCGCTGTGCCAATGAACAATATCCTCGGGAGTCTTCAAGGTCATAATAGACTTGACACGTCCAATCACTGAGACTGGGATCGACTTCGGAAGCTCGTTTATATGTCTAAGAGATAGATGAGAACAGTTAGTACAATCTGTTTGTCTTGAATCGTACCGATGAAAATGAACCGTGCACATCTTGAGGCAGTAGGAGATCAGTTTGAAGGGATCAGTGGAGGTGATGCCGCTGATCTGAGGTTTGTTGTAGCGAACAAGGAATGCTCCAAACCCCTGCGCTTGTGCGATATCACCATCAAGAACAATCACTTTGAGCTTCGCATCGGGATAAAATGGCGCGAGCTTTAGAATACGACCAGTGGAGCTCTGAACAGCGTCCCAAAACTCAGTGAACATCTCCTCATAGGAGAGAGCATCCACGCCGTCGCCGTATGTGCTGCCAATTGTGATGCCTGATCACGTCTCAATCACTGGTTATTTACGAGTCAAGGGGAAGTCACGCACACTGAGAAAGGCTCTCTGAGTAACCTACAGCCTCACATTCGTTAATGGAGCCCTCAATGCGCTTGTATGCATAATCAAACATCAGAGCTCGCATTTTGTGAGCGTGTCGCGCAATTAATGCGTTCATGGTGGTTGCCAGTCGTGTGTTACGTTTGCTGATGACTGAGTGTATGTAGCGCTCGCTGGGAGGTAATCCTCGATCAACAGTGTTGTAGCGATGGACGACACCTATCAACGATTATTTAGGAGTTGAAAGGGACGTGTGTAAATACGTACCTTCCCAACCAGATCCGACTGGATGTTTTTCGGCTTTTTTTCGGCTGATGACCTCTCGAACGAGTCTGTGATCCTGGAAGGCAGGGCTGTGCTCTGCCACACGCTGGCCCTGATAGATCTCGTGGGTCGAGGACGCTAAGAGCTCGTCAGAAACTCCGTGGAATAAAACTGCGTAATCTGCGCTCACCATTAAGCAGCTTTTGAACAGTCAACCCTCCCAGACCGGCGGCGTCAATTGCTTTGTTCAGCATTTGTCGATCCAATGAGCTTGGTTTGGTCCGAGGGTACATGGGATGGCTGTGTGGATTTCGAACGTACACGATTGTCTTGTCTGCCAGATTTGCAGGGGGGTCTACAGGTGTGAAGACGAGGATCTCAGATGGGCATGGATGAGTTTCCAGCTTCCCTATCCGAATTTGTCCGTCAACGACATGGGAGTATCCTGTTCAGTCGGATAAATAAATAGAGATTAATCTCAAGGTAGATCATCGCAGACGTACCACAGTTCAGCAAACGAAACCTTGGGTGCGACGTGAAGCAGCAGGCACCATTGATCTCTGGCGAATTGGGAAGGAGACCGCCATGATCCAGGGCGTATCGGAGGAGATCCTTGTTAACATGCGGCGGGATTTTCTGGAAGATGTGATTCTTCCGATTGTCCGCATGAGCTGACCAGCCGCTGCATCCAATGAATGCTTGCTTTCCGTTCAGAAAAATCTATCTTAGCTTTAGAAATTATGAACGTAGGCGCTCCTTACATGAACACGCACTGAGTTGCTGGAAATCATTTCCAGGTGACCTTTGCACACGATGCCTCCGCGCTTCGCTTTGCATTTAAGCTCTGTTACAAAGCGAAAGAATCTGCGACTCTGGCTCAACACGAGATATTCTTGTGGTAATCTTTGGAACGTACCTGGCAATCACGGCCCATTCAGACTCCCCTTCACGTTCATTGGCATTGAGGACAAGTTGCCATAGACTTTCCTTCTCTATGGTGTTAACGTCATATCGCTTACAGTTGGCGAGGATAGACGGATCGAGAAATTCACACTTCCGAACTCCGCTGCAGCCCCACTGGGCACGCCGGCATCTGATCTTGGCCGTTCCAGGAAACGCAAGAACGTTAACGTCCCCGGTGAGGCTGCCACCTGAACCTTTCCCACCCCAAGAGTCCTGATCCTGCCACGCATCGAAAAAATAAGTGTCAGATATGCAGGAAATTTTCCAAAAACACGCACCTCGTTCCGTATATAGGTCTGTAGCATACGGCGCTTGCCCTTCTCATCAAGAAGTAGATCTGTCGAGGCAGACATGTCTACGAGCCACGCAATGGAATGATCGGGACGGCACACTTCCCATGTGTCCGGAATGTTGTCCACAGAGCGAAGCTCATGAACCCACAGTTCGCGGGTAATTTGGATCATTCCCTCGCGTTCCTCAGGCTGCAAGGGCTCTGCCATTTTCTTCTTTTTTCCTGCTTTTCTTGCTTAAAAAAATGAGTCTACAGATCCGACCAGAAGTGCAGATAGTTACATTGCAAATCAATGTTGAGAATGGGAGGTTCATCTGGCATAGCGCTGTCATTTTCTGGGCGCGAATCTACAAAATCAGAGGATCACGCTTGGCAATCAGGACTCAAGAGTGTTAAGTACTGACCGGTAGAGAGAATAGAGGACATTGAAGTCGCACTTTTTGGTCGAATCAACGATTCCGGAAAGGGAATCTCTTCGTCATCTATAAGAAACAATCAGAATAATGTTTCCCCGAACAAATTAGTCAGCAAACCACTGAGAACGGGCAGATCGCCATCCGACACACTCCCCGTATACATTGAGCTGGGCGGGCGGGACGGTAGATCATAATCCGGCTCGATACCTTCCTCATTCTGTGTCTCCACGATCAGAGAACGCCTGTCTGTGTCCGATCGACCATCTTGATCCGACACTGGCTGTGACGGCAAGAGAAGTCGTTTATAAGCTGAAAAGACCTGCGGCTTGACCCATGTCTCCGCATGCTCAAGACTGAAAAACTGATGCGTTAAAAGATAGTCGGGAATAATCTATTGCGAGCTTTGAGTCAACGATCAGTCCAAGTGAAAGATCAATGACTTACTTCCTTGCGCAAGGCAATCAAATCACGCCGAGATGCGTCGGATGGATCAAGCCCTGGTATGTCAAGAGCTTCGTTGTATTGATAGTAAAGTTGGAGCCCTCGCGACGTGATCCAGTCACTGGAGTTGTCGATCGAGAAATAAGGATCGTGTCCCGGTTGGGCACATTCCTCGGGAAACATCTGTCACCGGGGTGTGTGAGAGAGATCACTGGCAGGACATCGTCGATTCACAGCTACGCACAAAGTGACGGTATGATTTGATAGTTTTGAGCAGAAGCTCCTCAACAACATGCTTAAAGTCGGACATGACCGTGGTGAGTCGTTATGGATGTGAGCGTTTCACAAGAGTTTATGCGTGCGATAAGTAATTGGATATTAAAAACTTTTAAAAACTTTTTACCGAGGGCGGTGCTGCGCCAAGGCGCTGTGACTAGTGTATTACCCCACCCAAACGTGCTCAGTGCGACGTGTGTCTCACATGTGTCTCATATCAATCACCGGCCGCAATCACTGCCATCAACGCAGGTCGGGGTAGGACTCAAATGAAGCTCGAGTATAACTAGGAGGGAACCTCATCTGATGTAGGATTGATATCTACAATAGGAGTGGCCCATGAGTGCCACTCCTACTCATTTCGTCACTTCTCCAATAAACTGCGCAGCGACAAACAAGAACAATAGGAATAATCAGTACAATGGCCATGACAGAACAATAGAAAACAGAGACAATAGGAACAATGGCACCACCTGCCATCAGAGAGAAGCGCTTGGCGTGGCGGTCCGGGCCGCTGCGCATGACAGCTGACAGGTCACACGAGCGCGATTGCATGCCAGATCCCAGGCTGATTGGTCCAAAGCGGGGGTTCCCCTGACAGCCCACCTTGAAGCAGTGCAGCTAGGGCCTGCCTCATTGCAAAGGTAAGAGAGGACAACAAGGATTCTTGTGGAGTCCTCTGAGAATTCCAAACAATAAGCACCAATGTAGGTGGTGCACAACTCCACAAAGCCCAAATACTTGGACTTGTTGCCATCAAAGTAGGGGGGTTGGCAGCGAGGGTGATGCAATGTCCTGTCATGGTACAAGCAGGTGTGGTAGGCAGAGGTGTGGGTGGTTGTTCGGAGGGCAGTTTGTTGAGGTCAGGGATCTCGTCTTCAGGAGGTGGGAGGATGAGGTAGGGATTGGAGGACCCGGGTTGGTTTTGATACGCCAGATCGGGCAACAATAGTACAATGGGGGGAGGAGATATACTCCCAGATGACAATGAGAATCGGTACAAAATGGTGGATTTGTGTGCTGTACAAGCACTTGAGGAAAAGTTCTCTTGCTAGCAAAAAGATCCTGGGCCTATCTCTTCACGTGCCCAATGGTCCTGAGGTGTGTTTCCCCGAAGGTCTCTGCAGCACTCCTTGTAGCTACTATAAGGCTTGGGTTGGGCTCAATGGTACCCATGGCCTGGTGCTATTTGCTTGATATGAACCCTTCACTGTGATCACAGAGAACAACTAGATGATTTGGTAAAAGGGTGAGTGGATTGGCAAGGATGAAGAGGATATAGCAGGTGTAGCAGTGAGGGATGCAGAGTTATGAGGTATGAGGGAAGTCCTGGAATTATGTGACAATCAACAAAGAATAAAGTCAAAAAGAGAAGTCAATTCCAAGACTGGAGAATACAACATAATAGCTTCAGTATTTATACCAAGCCCCACCTCAGTTACCACCGCCATCATGTGGTTCTCCTCCCGCGGGGTACCTACTGGGTACCCTCAGACGTCTTGCTGAGGGTACCTAGTAGGTACCCCCTGGCGGGGGGTGGGGGGGCCATTTAGTCGATCTAGTAGCGGGGGCATATGCGGGGGTCAGGAGGAGGGGGGGTGTATGTAGCATGTGACTTGTCCATAAGAGCGGGTAGCTGGACGGGAAAAAAAAATCCAATCACATGATGCGCTGCATGGGCGGGATGGCGGGATAAAAAAAATCACGTGATGCGCTGCACAAAATATTACCAAAATGCTGGCAGGGGTTGGCGGCGTCATTGGCGGGGTCACTACCACCCCCCGCACACCATGGCGGGCAGTGGGCGCATTATCACGTGACTTTTTGGGCGCCTTTTTTGCAGCATTTGGCATGATTTTGGAGATGCTGCTTGATACATTGCATGCTGTGGCAGACAATGGGCGCAAAATCACGTGATTTTCTGCCAAAAAAATGGAAGACTCCCCAAATCATCCCAGTATAATTTCCATAGGTAAATAGGCTAGTTAAACATGAACTTGAGCTTAGAAAAACCAAAATGCACCCTGCACAATGGGATTGGTGACACACTTGATCCTATCATTTGGCAGGGCCTGCCGCAGGGGCTGCCGCGGGGGGGTGATGCGGGGGCTGCCCCAGGGGGTGCTGCGGGGGGGTGCTGCAGGGGCTGCCCCAGGGTTGGTCTGTTATGATCCATTTTTGTTCATTGAAGATCTTGTAGAGGTGAGCAGGGCAACAGGCCAACTGGGAATTTATAGGAAGACATTGAAATTGATGCAGGGGTCAGATGCGGGGCCCACTGCAAGGTCTACTGCAGGGGCAGGGGTGCATTATATCAAATTTCGATGTATCTATTCTGGCCATGGCCATAGAATGTCACATAATTATCCTTCAATTTGGCAGGGGTTTCTTGGTATGGTCTGCAGCTAAAGGCATTTGATTCCCTTGTGCTTTAGCAGAGGCTGGGATATTGAAAACATGCAATAGCACCTGTATAATCTGTCTATGTAGGGTCAAATACAAGTTATGACTTGGTACATTTGGGCATGGTCTGCTAAAGCTATTAGGTCGAATTCAATGTTTGAAAAATGTGCAACTTGATTTGTTTGGCAAATCCCCCAAGGGAGTTTTCCATGTGCAGCCAAATTGATCACCAGGAATAGCTACTGCTCCTTGTCCCTGTCTGTTTGCGTCAGATAGTCTGTCTGCTCCCAAATCTTCCTCTCCATTTTCAGGATATCTGATACAGGTGTTAGGATTGTTGATTGATGGATTTCATATTCCTTGTCTACACACCATTTAGACACTTTAATGGATGTGATAATACTGTGAACACTAACAATGGATTAAGCAGCACTTTTGTCCATCCAATCCTTGCAGGGGCTGGGGCAGGGTTGATGGTGGGGGCTGCTGCGGGGGCTGCCGCGGGGGGTGCCGCAGAGGGTGCCCAAGCCTCTGCCAGCCTACCCAATGTGGATCAACTACAGGATCACTTTCCAAAGCTTCTGTACTGCAACCTAAGTGACTCCCAGGTTACCTTTACCCAATTCCAGTGACACAACTTGCCTGCTCTTGTTTCTGGCTGACAATTGATTTTATAAGCTTGAGTGTGTATGTGCACTTTTTAGTGGGAAAGGAGGCCATTTGGTGAGGGGTAGGGCACCGAAACATTGTCAAATACCTGTCAGGGGACGCCGCGCTCCTTGGGCACGTGACCATGCACGTGACCCACTGCGCCCTCTCTGCCGACCCATGCCTGCTCACCTGTCGATCACCCAGCCTCCTCCTCCTCCTCCGATCCTCATCTCCATCCATGCCAACATCCGCCCTCTCCCTCCTTCCCCCGGCCATCTCCCTCAAATCCCCGCAAGCGGTCTAGCCAAGCCCGATTCCTTGCACCAGGGAGTGCTACTGCCGTACGCACTCCTCCCCCTTCACTTCGGCCTTCTCCCCGCGGATGTGGTCTACTGCCATACAGGCTCGTACCAGATGCCTTTGCGCTCATCCGCACCACCCCTCTTCCCAGTCGGGCATTGGTCCTTGCCTCCGATGTCTCCACTGGCTGGCCCGGCACTGGCCTGGCCACTGGGCTCCTCCAGTGTGGCCTTCCACTGTTGGTGTCTCAGGAGCTGGCCGTCACTGGCCCCTCTGAGCCACTCACTATCTTATCTGGGTTTGTCATTATCTACTTGTCATCTGCCATTGTTCCATGGCAGTGATATCCCATCATCATCAGTCACTTGTCACAGCTGACTATATAGTGTGACACCTGGGCACATGGATCCTTGAACCGTTCTCTAAGGATCCCCCTCTGTGCTCAGGTGAGTAGTACACCTCCCTTGTATTTGATAGTCTCTAAGGATCCCCCTCTGTGCTCAGACTCATGTGAGGTTGTTGTGTGCTGTGTGCTCTCTTCCTTTGGGCTGGCAGGAGTTGCCCTTACAATACCATATTGAACATGACCAGTGGCTTACATCTCTTCAAACTGGGCCCTATCTCATGTTTATCAAGACCCTATTTTTCGGACCCATTTCAAGTTTTTGAATGGTTCCAGGGTCCAGGGCTCTCAGAATTTGTTTCAGACACTGCCAAGGGGTATATCATTCAGCTGTATTGAGTTGTTCATTTGTAGAAAATATATTTTTGCAATACCCAAAGTGAACTATGTTGAACCATTATCTATGTAGGAACCTTGAGCAACTGTGAACTGTTTTCATGTTTCGAATTTTGAATGGACAAACAATATGAAATACCTACATATTCAACAAGAACAGTATAGGGAGACCTTATTCCGATGGTTTTCAGCTGCATAACAGTAGAAACAGTGTCAGAAGAGCAGGAAACACTTAGGTACGATGTTTATACAGGTTCTGATTGGCTGGTGACTTGACGTGTTCCGAGCTGTCAGATTATGTAATCTTACATATGAGAAGATGGCAGGGGCAAGGCACCGGTGCAGCGGGGGGTGTGGCAGGGGGTGTCAGCCTGGCGGGGGTGCATGCGGGGGTGCAGTGGGGGGTGCCTGCAGGGGTGCCAGTGGAGGTGCAGGTAGAGTTGCAGGCAGTGAGTTATGGCAAGAATGTATGCAGTCCCAGTAGCAAAAGCAATCATGTATGTTTCTGCAGTTTGTCTTGCAAGTATCCAAGCTCTAAGTGGAAAGAATTTTGTATATGAAATCTGAATTCATGCTCAATCTCTGGCTATTGTGAGACAACTTATTAGTGAGTTAGTTCATCCTCTTATATACAACCCAGGAATAAATTGAGGGCATGTCAAATCTGCTATGTTCCATCTGTTCATGTTGCAGCTTGAGAAAATCATTTGCAAAGCATCACAGAACTTCTGATTTTCAATGAGTCCCAGTCAGGAAGTGAGACATTCAATGTGTACTTGACATGTGGTACAATGTGCCGCAGGGTAAGATTACACTGTGCTAACAGTGTGAACAATTTACTAATAGCCATGTATGTAGAATGAGCGCACCAAAAAATCAATGAGATGACAGTGGACCCAGTGCAGCCAACCTACCCACCCTGCTGGTCAACACATGAACAA